CACACACACACACACACACACACACACACACACACACACACACACACACACACACCACACACACACACACACACACACACACACACACACACACACGCACGCACACACACACACACGCATACTTGATTGTAGTCGAACTTTTGCACACGCGATGGAATCTGAAAATCGTCCCTTGCGTGAATTCTTAGCATCCTGTATACCCTTGTCAAAGCATTTTCTTCAATTCCTCCCTCATACGCGGCCACGATATCCTCATATAGTTTCTTGTTATGTTTCTTGCCGGAAGAATCGCGTGTCATAGTCTGGTATAGTGCATCGTTATACTTCTGTTGTCGGCCTAATCACGCACGCACCAGTTTCTTGGCATTACTCATGATCTCACGCGTGTTGAATTTCAGTAGATCCTTGGAACATCTTAGTATGGCCGCACTGGTAGCTGTCTCCGACCGTTCTTCTTCTTTCTCTGGCAGCTTCCATAGAAAGTGATGTGCAGGAACGTTATTTCCGTAGTTCTTTGAGTACAATGCAACGCTATAGTTTTCAAAGCCCATGTTTTGATACCACCAGGGGCGGTGTGCGGAGGAGACAGGTGCATAAGACTCAATACTGACTGGTTTATAATCAGCGGACTTGTTAAGTTGACGTTCGACACCTTTGTACTTGTCCCTCGTTGATTTTACTCTCTTCTTCGTGATAAACGATACACCATCCTCCATAGGGCGAATATGCTGCAAGCTGTGATTGCGTGCGTTTGCTTTTGATTCTGATGTTCTAAATATTCGATGTACTTATTCGGACTGTTGAGAAGACAATTGAGATCATCACGTACCTCCACCCAGTGTTTCGAGCGACACGTCTTCAAGTGCAAGGTATAGTCCAGGAGCTTCGTTTGTGATCGTTATTCTGCTTCTCAAATGTTAATGCTTCCGGTAAACTTGGAACGTGGTGCCTGCTACAGAATTTGCTAGCATGGCCATCAATACAATTGATGACACTCCCGATTTTCTTCAGAGTAGGATCCGAGCTATAGTCGCGGCGGTAGAAACCAGCCTTTATTGACTTCAGATACTTGACAGTTAAGTTGTGTAGTTTGTCTTTGCCAGAATCTTTTTTGGCCGGAGGTGGGTAGTAGTCCGGCAAACCCTTCGCCATCATGACAAAAAATGGGTTAACTGTCTCTTTATTTGTAGCTCTAGGTCTTTCTATAATGCCCACTTCGAACTCGATAACCTCTAGTTTGTGAGTGTGGAAGAACTGCTAAACAGTTAAATCACTTTCGAGTAGAATGCGTAGACGAAGTCTGTCATCGTCTCGAGTAGGGAATACAGCCTTGTAACCGTATATCTCAAAGCTGGCACCTATGAACTGTGTACCCTTATTGTAAAGTGGAAACAAACTACCTATCTCAGCTGTCAGCATCACGCGCGGGATAGCTGTGAATCTCACCATTCCTCTCGCAAACACACGATACCAGGTGTATAGTGACGGGGGCCTCTGTATCCTGATCGTCCGACATGTCAATTAATCCTAATCACTACGCAATTAATATACCTGTTTGAATCGTAACCAACACTGCATCACTGTGCGATGAATGATCAGGAGAACCGTATATATACATAGAAATACGAAAAATATAAAAATGTGTATTTTTAAAAAGTTTATTATCATAACTGTCGATGACATTTCAACCGGCTGAATGGCGCTCACTTTTTTGCGCGTCATCATTTGCCTATATATGTAAGGTGAGAGGTCAATTCTGACCCTAGGTATGGAAAAAGGGGTAAGAGCTAAGAGCCCCCCCCCCCTCCCCCTACCCCGTT